ACACACACACACACACAACAAACAAAAACGCAAGAAACATTTTCAGTTCCCCAATACAAAAAGTGTCTAATGCTCATCGTAAATTCTGCCAAGTATACTGTACATAATATAAGGGAAAACCGAACTGAAAGAAAGCTTGGATCTCTTAAAGGTTAAATAAAAAAATTATAAATAAAGCAAATGATGTCAAAGTAAATGTAAAACAACGTATATAACCACATACATAAGCATGAAGCAACAAGTACATTGATATAAGGTCCCTTAAAAAGACCAGTGTGTAGGATTTCGAGGCATCTAGCGGTGAAGTTGCAAATTGCAACCAACCGAATACTGCCTGCCTTCCAATCATGCAGGAGAAACTACAGTGGCGACAAAACTCGTGAAAAACACGAATGGCCCTATCCAGTGCAAGTGTTTGGTTTGTCCTTTCTAGGCTACTGTAGAAACATGGCAATTCGACATGGCGGACTCCATGGAAGAGGACCCGTTCCTTCTGTTGATAAAAACGTCTCATTCCAAGGTTACGAAAACACAACTATTTTTATTCACAATAAATGGGGGAAATATATTGACCTGCTGCTAATCAATCAACCCTGGATTGTTGGAGGCAGAAAGTTGTAACCATCGTGCAGGTACTGTAAACCTACCAAGCTAAACTCATCTTGGGGTGGTGATGTTGGCTTTCAACATCTGTAGTTTGATGCTGTAAGTTAGTAAACACTAAACTAAATGCTTAAATGCAGTGTATTTCATATATGCATTATTATTTACCATGTTTATCCCTTTTTCTTTCACTGTTGACGAATATTTTGCTCTTGGTTTACAATAAAACTTTGGTCATAAAAAAAATATTATATTCCATTTCTGCCAATAATTCCTCCTTAATGCTACACACTGGACCCTTAAATAAAAATGATACCACTAGTAGTCTTACATGATAAATTAGTACAAGGCTATATAAACAGGGTTGGGTAGTCTTGTTCTTTTTAATAATGAAAAAAGGTTTGCTGTAATGACTCACACAGATCACATAGTGAAAGAAGTCATGTGCTCTTCATATGACATCTCTGGATAAAACCTTTTACTTAAATTAGAATATTCAATCACTGGTTGACTGAATAAAAACACAGGTGGAATATTGTGTGTGTCTGTGTGTGTGTGTGTATTTGTGTGTGTGTACGTCTGTGTATGTGTGGGTGGTTATCTATATGGGGGAGTTCTGTTTAAGTTCCACAGAACAGGAACTTACTTCAAAAACTGTCACAGGAAACTGACTCTACCCCCACACCCCCAACAACAGGTCTGAAACTGGATTAAGATAAAGTTTATGGTACAAATATATATCATGTAATCAGGGATATACTGTAAGTTCCTGTATGGAACCTTGGAATTAAACCCATGTACAACTGTACAGATTTGTGAAGCTGAATTACTCTGTTTGGATTTATTTTTTACATGCTTCTTAATGTTTATTGTGATCTACTTTGCTAATTCACTGGCTGTCAAATTATTTTAGTAGTTTTTGTTGTTTACTCTGTGTCTAGCATGTTGTCATCCTGTTTTGAATATGATAAACATAAAAATCAGATCTAGAAACGTGGAAAACAATTAGGCTGGCTGTGTCCAAAGGTAACAAAACCTACCTACCAGCACCTCTAAAGTGATTTTTTCCTTTAACACTTTTGTACAGATTAATCAAATGAGATATAACGTGTTGATTAGTGACCTTTAGATGTGTCGGTTGGTGGATTCTGGTTTCTTCTGGACAGAGCCAGGCTAGCTGTTTCCCCTGTTTCCAATCTTTGTGCTTAGCTAAGCTAAATGGGAACTTTTTTTTTTACGTCGAGCTTTCCATCGAACTCTTGCCAAGAAAATGCGTGCTTCCCAAAATGTTGATCTGTTCCTTTCACTGTAAATATGGATGACATTTTTGCCAATGTTTTCATTATATATCTTGTCAGACATAAGAGAAGGATGTTCCTGACACCACAGGGAACCAGAGCTATATAGTAACGTAGTAGACGTTTGTTTACTCCAAAAATCTGCCATACATCCCTCGTCTATTTCCTTTTGTGAGACTATATACCCATACCATTACAGTGAAAATACTGTAATTTTTTAAAACCAGTTTCTATGACGGTTCGGGGTTTACATAAAAAAAATGTGAGGAACCGTTTTTCATACTTCTGATTCCCAGTTTCTTGGAAATGCTTCTATACTATAGATGAGTGCAGTAGGAAGAAAAGGAGGCACATACTTAAGTGCATTTCTGCTAACAGAGTCTCTTTTCTTCTCACATTTCCAGTGTCTGCAATGTGGTTCACTGTGTATTGCAACATCTCTTTGTGGCGTCTGAGGCTTCCCACAATAAATCATTAGAGACGAAAGACAAACAGAACTCATGTTGCCACCATACGTAACCATGGCCATCTGCTCCATAACATTTAAATCTACTGCGCTTTACAGTAGACGCTATAAGGAAGCAATATCTATTTTGTGAAAAGCAGCGATTCAAGGAAATCCAGCAAGAAAAGAGAAATAGCTTCAAATGGAAAGCTTTTTCTCATAGATTAACCGAATTACTTTGTCTATTTTTATTGTTTCCGGATTGGTCTATATTGCTGACTCCTCAGTCCTCAAGCAGTGTCCTTTGGTTTGGCTGCATGCTCAGCACTGACCTCTCAGCTGTTTTCAACTTGCATGAATTTAAGCGGAACAATCCCAAGTTCTCATAAAAAAACAACTTCATGAGACACGCATTGTTTTGTTGTTAGTGG